ATAAAACTTTAAATTACCTAAAGAGTGTTTAATTACTAAAGCTAACAACTTTATTTTAATTCCAGTGCCCATCTAGTTTCATAATGCCTTATATTTTAATATTATAGACATAATTAAGAAGTGAACATATTAAAAATCGTAACATGAATTAGTTATTATATCAAATAATCTTATAGATATTTTTTTTAATTTGCAATTTAATTATAAAGTGGCATGAACAAAAATTGTGGACGATACTATTGGCGGAAATAACATTTTCTACCGTAGCTACTTATTAGGAAGACTTCGATTTAAACAGAATCTTATTTGCTTATTAATTTATATAATTACTAATTGGTAACAGTAATCACCAATCAGTTAATTAGTAACAGTCGGTACAGTTCTGGCGAGATTACATAAAGATTTAGGTAATCATTATTCGTATATCTTATGAGATATATTATATAGGGGGGGTTTTCTTTACTTTACATAGAAAAACGAGACATTTGGTTTTTAAAATAATTATCCTATCCTAGTTAGATTCCTAATATAAACTAGAGACACAAATTATAAAAAAATAATATTTCACTATAGAAATATATTCAAAAATTTATTTATCACATTTTCTACGTAAAAGTTATACCTAATTACAATAATATATAACACAGGTACAGGTACTTAATACAGGTACTTTTTCAATACTTCTGTTCTAAAAATTAAAATATCGATTTACTTACGTATATATATGATCACCATGGCGACACCATCACCAACAACACCTATATATTTATGAACACACAGAAAAACAAACATTTTTATTACTAATTTAATCTTTTAACTATATGTTAAACACTAGACTTCACACACTTCACAGGGACGCACATGAGACATCTACGAGTAAAGTATCGGCCCTTATACATAACAGTTAGTGTACTTCCGTCTCTTTTATACTTATATTAAATGAAAGAGATGGTATCTACATTTTCTTGAAATGAACTGACTTTCTAGTAACCATGGTGACGGGACTTGTGATTGTTCAATTATGATGATTATACTCATCTTACTTATTGAATTAAACGTACTAATACCGAAATATACTATCCTAAATGTATATATTGTTATATAATACGGGTACTGTAGTCGTTAAAAAACATTCCAACGTTGAACAAAGATCAACTTTATAACAGTTTCCAAAAAGCTACTAAAATATACTTGATTATCTAATATAATAAAATTCTCGTGTCACAGTTTTCGTGCCCATACTCCTCCGAAACAACCTGACCGATTTTGATGAAATTTTTTGTGCTTATTCGGTAGCTATGAGAATCGGCCAACATCTATTTTTCATCCCCCTAAATGTTAGGGGTAGTCCACCCCTAAATTTTTTTTTTTATTTTTTAGACAAAAATTTTTAATTACTATTTTTTTATGATACAACGTACCAAAAATACATACAATCCTAAATTTTCACCCTTCTACGATCAACCCTTATTTTTTTTAATAGCTATTTTAGTAATTTAATCATTTTTTTTTCATCTCCGGTCGATAACTGATCAATCGTCATTTAATAAGTTATCCCCGCCAGATATCTACAGGTGTCACTTCTGACCCCAGTAAACAGCACGGAGTAGGGATGAGAACGAAGCCGGTCTTCTGTTTCTCTCACACAATTAGACTTCTCTCACTCCCTACACAGTTGTCGGCCATCGTTATTGTTTTGTGCATCAAGTGTAGTAGTAACGTTGACAATTATTATTTTGCTAGCTCAGTGTAACTCTCATATTAACTATTAATCATTCCTAATCACTTCAAAACACGGAGATTTATGGCTTTAATAGGTAAACTCCAAAAATATATATAAAAAAAAAACGTAACAGATATTTCTTGATTATAGGGCGAAACGAAGTTTCGCCGGGTCTTCTAGTAATCTATAAATAAGTGTATAATGCATAAATGTATCAATGAATGATTCTTTGCAATTTTATTTCAAAAAACTAAGCCATGTTTTGTGTAAAGAGCATAGGTTCCCTAGATTTTGCGAAGTAAAAAATCAATTTCCTTAAAAAATCCTACTAATGTATTGTCACGAAAAAAAGGAAAAGTAAAGAAAAGTTTTATTCATTATCTACAACGCCTACAAGTATTCAGACGTAACGTGGGAACATCTGTCTCTCCCACGGACTTGGTAATTGACCATTCTAATAAATCGAGTATTATTGAAATGGTATTGGTGTTATACAATCGGAAACTATTAATCTGCATAATAAAAGTTACACAAATTAAATTGCTACTACAATGATTACGAGCGTTTTTTTTTTAACCGTGAGTAATACTTATCAGCGGGGTACTCAGTTCCTGATTAAATATCTACATACATATTGTTTAAACGGTACTGCTCTGAAGACTGGATTTGAAAAATCATCTTTAATTTTTCCTATAACACCAACAGGTTTTTAAGTTTTTATTCATTTTCGACTTGTAAGGAGTTTTTTTTTTTTGTTTTATAAATTGCAATATCTTCAGCGACAGGACATTTATTTTATTTACTTTACTTATTATATACTTGATAAGTATATAGCTTTGTTCACTAGACATATAATGGTACACTTATCGCTTCTATTTTGTTCATACCCAACTAATATTATAAAATGCGAATGTAGCTCTGTCCTGTCTGTCTGTCTGTTGGTACGCTTTCCCGCTTAAAAACCTCTCAAACTGATTTTCATGAAATTTGGCACAGACAATCTTTAGACCCTGAGAAAAAACATAGGCTACCATTTTATTTGCGAAAAAAAAGGATGAAAAGTTGAAAGTAGGGGTTGAAAAGTATGTATGGGAGTTTCTTAATTTTTAAAAGATAAAAACCATGAAACTTTATAATTTAAGCACCTGATAAGATATATTTAAACATTTGTTCTAGCGTTTTTGAAATTTTTGACCAGTGAGTGAGTGAAAAATTGGCTTTTGAAGTTAAGTTCCTTTTAAACGCAATAGGTACTCTCGCATCGCCGCCGCTGCCGTCGGTCGTTCGGTCGCCGAAACAGTGGGAAGCCCCATACAAGGCAGTCTCAAAACCCCTTCACATGAAACATTGTGTTGTTATGCAGTAAAACTATGTAATTAATTAATTTAGTCGTATAAATAAACTTCCTTTTCTCTATTTTTTAAATTATTTTTTGCAAACCATAATATACATATATTAAAAGGGCATCAAGTTGACTCATGTTCAATTTTGTGATTTTGCCCCAGTACATTATTTTATTTATTTATTTATTTAACACTTTATTGCACACCAAATATACATAAAAAAAATATTCCTATAAACATTACTAACAATTCAACGGCCCCACTGCTCGAAAAGTTATTATTAATATTATAAATGCGAAAGTAACTCTGTCTGTCTGTCGTGTCTGTTTTACGCTTTCACGCCGAAAACACTGAATGATTTTAATGAAATTTGGTACAGAGATAAAGGTTGACCTTGGAGAAAGAACAAAGGATAGTTTTTATCCCAGACTTTTGAAAGGTTCTCTTGGAAACGCGATATAACCGAACTCCACGCCGAGCGAAGCCGCGGGGCGGAAAGCTAGTTATAATAATAAAACTTAAAATTAAATCTCAAAAATGAAGAGCATTTATTATATCTAAAGTATTAAGTCTGAATTGAAGTGACCCTGACATCCTTCCTCTATATATTGAGTATTTTTCAATAGCATTTAATTTAATATAACATCATTATCTATAGACAGATCTAAAGAGTATTGAGGACTATGTTCTCCTAAGGCATGAATCCCACACCAGCTATGAAAGGCCGCTAACATTCTGGAATAGACTTTTCTGACTCGTTTTAACTATAATATTTAACTGAAGCAGTCTTTATTAAATCCTGGTGACTTTCTAAGCTAGTTTTTTTTCAATTAACTTAATTCATATTTTCTTATAGGCCTCTGATTTACTAAACAAAAATTCACGATCAGTTATAAAACAAAATGTGTGAAAACATAAAAACGTTTTTCTTACAAATGAATTCCCATAAATTAGTTTGTAATACTTTTTTGGTGGTACAATTATTAAAAGATTTTGCATATACAATTTTTTTTATTTATTATTAATATTACTTACAAAATACTATACACGATATTTTTTGTTTATGAAACATAAGTATGCACTAAATCCTTAAGTTCGTCTATCAATCTAGCCTCCGTCGAATATATTTTTATTCATCAGATTCTTGCTGTGTAATATAACTGGATTATTTAAATCCGAGCGACTGTTTTAATAATATTAACTCTTTCATCATTTTTAAAATTGAGAGGAGCACTTTACGACTACATTCGGCTATTTGTTTCGTCCCCAAAAACTTGATCGACCTCTTTGTAATAACATTATAAAGCTTCAAGTAATCGATCAGGTCTTCACACACTCCAAGAGATGTGTCTTGGGCAGAAAATTATATATTAATTCTAAAATTTCAAACTCGATCTCAGATTTCACTCTAAAATTATTTATATCTATGTTCGGATTGAACTTAACGTGTTTCAACAGTAATAGTATTCCATACTGTGAAGTAGATTTTTTTATCAGATCGAAAATAGCTATCATAGTGCTCCTATCATCAGTGTTTCTGACGATGTGATGTAACCAGGGCATCAGACTGTAACCCTCGGCCAAGATCTCAAATGCCCAAGGCACTGATAACGATCGCACTGTGAGACTGTTAATTATTTTTATTTTAGTTTTTTCCTATCACTCAACACCGTGCCGTAAAAGTTCCATGATCATTTTGAGGCACATCGTCTTAAATACAACGGTCACGTCACTGATTGTTTTTTGTTCCGTCCTTTTATTTATGTCGAGAATCCAGAAGACGTCTTTGTCATTGGCTTCCCCAAATCACTGTCATGGAAAGACTTAGGAAATTCTGGTACTACGTTTAGATCTACCAGCTGGTTAGCGATGAGGAAGTTATTCACTGGTTTGTATAAACGGGTCGGGCGGGCATTTGGACACCATGAGAAGCCCTAGCGAGATACAGAGCCCCTATAGCTGGGTAGTTTAAGGGATTCTTGATATCCCTTAATTGAGCCCTCGGTGGCTTTCGTGTTTATTGCGGTGGATAAACTCTGACGCAATGTGGCAATGAAGTCCTTCAGCAGAAGTTTATCGTTTTTTGTAGGTCTCCTGAAAGTAAATAGAGTAATTCAATAAAATATCGATAATTAAAAACCATTTTTATGCTACTAAAAATGATTTTTAAAAACTAACTCACGTTCGGTCTCCAACAGCAAACAGAACCTGTGAAGCACGTGGTAAGCAGCGGAGGGCCCTCATCAAAGGACAGGAGGAGCTTAAACCCATCCACAGGAACGGATAGGAAGACCGGTCCTTAACATCTTGAAACAAGAGGCGACCGAGCCCGGCGCTAGTATGTGACCTCAATACAGGAAATACAAAACGCTGGGTACGTATATAGTCTGATCCTCTTCATGTGAGATAACAGAGTTTCAAAATTCCTAATTCTTTAACCTTTTCCCACTATTTGCTTATTTTCATGTTTTCTTTAATAACATGGATATCGAATATTCGGTGTCTTTCGTTCTTCGTCTTAACGTCTTTACCAGTTTCTTATAAAGAATTCTTTTAGTGAGCGCACTACTTGAGTTAAATATTAGGTAGTTTCATAATGGTAATTCAAGGGTTTTGATTGACAGGGAATTGTTTTAGTGTGTTTTCAATCAAATCTTTGTCAAACAAGTTTCATCACTTGGGTTAGGTGTGGGATGCACCCACAGCGAGGCGGTTCGTTTTTCGTACTGCAGTAATGATTAGCCGCTGATTCACACCCAAATGTACGGTTTGTATTCATTGACTGTAGGTCGTTACTCTCATAGAACTGTAGAATCGATAGAATGATGCGATCGCAATGACTTCTAGTAGCCCGATACGCGCTGGAGATAAACGGGAATCTGTTTGTGTCTTCATGAACCGACTTATTTGTTGTTATGAGAACGAATAAGAAACTCCAACAGCCGTGCTTTAATATCTGGACTGTGAAGACTTAGCATTACATTTAAAAATTCAGAGTGGACTGTGGAACCATGTCGAAAAAATTGTCACAATGTCCTCATGGTTATCTGAATAGACGAGCTTTATCAAATATGACAATAGTGATAACAGCTGAGGGCCGGTCACATTCTCGTCATCTGTGGTCTTCACTTTCAAGGAATCTTTAAGAACGGATTTGCAAAAAATTCTGCCAAATAGCACTCCCCCCCGGTAAACTTTTTTAAAATCATCCTTTTTCTCCATATCAAGATCTTCTCTGTTCTGAAACTAATCTGATTACATCATTAACTTTAAATACCAAAAATCTGTTAGAATAGTAGGTGCTTTATTCTCTCTATACTGCTGTTGAAATAACGTGTAACATTGATAAACAAATAGTTCAATCAAATGTTCTTTGGCAGCCATTAAGACATAGTTTCATGAAACGTAACTTGAAACAAGTTCAGATGACTGAGTTCGACGACCTCATATTTATGACTTTTTTGCGAACAGTTTTCATGCAATCCTTTGTCATTCATACACTTTCGGTTATTAGCTTTCTGATTAATTTCCATGAATTAATATACACTTGAACAGCTTTGTGGGGTTTTTCCAAGAACTTATTGATATTCGTCTTGTACTCGTCGTATATTTTAGGCAGGACTTTCTTTGTTTCTGTAGGAGGAACTGTTCGTGATCACATCATAGCATTACCTAAAAGGTAACGTGATCCTCTCTTTTGACTGAGTATTTCTGGTCTGTTTAATTCTTCGGCGAAAAAAACATCGCACATCTTATTCTGAAATTTAAGTATCAGTGCGGCTAGGTTTGACGTTGATTTTTTCTGATAGTAGTGGCATTAAAGAATTTTTTAAATTTCTCCTTGAGTAACGTGCGCTGTATAGTTGCGGTTTGTTTTCAAATAACTGTATAAGCGATTCCTCGAGTTCTGTCAGATAGGAGTCACATCTTTAAGGTTCAGGAGTTTCATGTACATTACGAAAACCAATTGGTTAAAGTAATCTGGAGGTAGTTCTTGTGTTATGGATTTTGAATACTTCGTTTTTATCAAAATATTTAACAGCTGCAAAACCAAAGTCGGTTCTTTGTCTTCTCTGAAGCATAGCGAAAGTATTTGCCGAGAATATATATAGATTATCGAAATAGATGACAAAAAATCGTTTTCCTTAGACACCCTATCGTTTCCAACACTCTGACAGTCACTTCGCTGGTCAATAGTTTTTCTTTTATTCACTTTAACATAATGCCTTCACTAGTTCGTTGAATGTCTTTTGTTGATAAGACTTCAAGATGTTTATGTTTTTGATTGAGATAATTAATGACATCTTTGTTAGATTCTAGAATTTGTAACATAAACTTTCGTAGCCAGAGTGTTCGACGGGTTTTTGTGAAATCGACTGGTTGGAATACTTTTAGGGAATGTTGCGTTCTTGAAACAAATTTAAAATTTTTTTTATATTCCTTGCACGTGTTTCAACATCAGATGCTTTTTTGCCTGTCATTATAATTTACTTGGAAGTAGCCGTCGATTTTCTTCTGTTGTTCTTCATAAAGTTCTTTCATGTTGGATAGTCGTATAGTACTAAACATCAAGTATTTCGCCCAAACAAATAGATCCGATCCATTGATAGCTTTCGTTGTGTCTATTTTATACGGGAAACATCGAGGATTGTCACATCGTATTCGTCATCTGTCTCCAATAAGAAGGGGAAGGAAGATAGCATTTATCGGCATTTCAGTACCTTTCAATTATGGAAGTATGATAATTTTCTTCAACGTATCATCCTTTTGCTAATGCTATCCGGTATAACAACGGGTCGTACTGTGCCAGTCAGCGACGTAACTCCTTATATCTAACTTCGAAATCACCCGATCAACACCTCGGTGAGTTCCGGAGAATTATTACAATGAAGCAAATTAGCTACGTACAAACAGAGGAATTGTTTTAAATTCTTCTTAGCGTCTCTGTGCTTTGTATAAACTGCATACAGCCTACGATGAAAGGCGAAGGTATTTTGTTTTCCAGAAAAACACTCTCAGCGTGGTCTGTTTCCCGTTCATCAAGTCTTTGAATAGTTTATCCAGATTGTCCTGGCTACATTCGTCTTGTTATCTCAAAGTTGACGACCTGATTCCTGACGTACTCAGGACAATTCCTTGCCATTCGCCAGAACGTGTTCAATAATTATCTGCTATCAATGATATTGGGATTTACTTTCGAGTTCCGTAGAGTATACAACATGAGATTTATTTCATCTTCATCGGTCTCAAAGACTTCTGTGTTCTTAAAAAATATATACAGTGTTTCTTTCGCTTCCAACCATGTTTTCGTTTTCGTCGCTCGTGAAAACCTCCAACATAATTAGGAAAGAGTTGTTTAAACATTGGGTTTTTGATAGTCAGAGCTGAGTCCGTCTAATATTAGCCAAAGAGAAACGACCTTGAACTTTAACAGAGATATAGGCCTGATGTTAATGTCATGGAAAAATCTAGAAGACTCTTCATATCAATATTACCTTCCAGAGATTCAAAGGAAGCTGGGTCTAAATGTGATTGTATAGTAGCAGAGTGTCAATGAATGTTAGTAGTGCTTCTGATGTCTCCGGCTTCGGCCAGCCTATAATCCTGAGTAGTTTCAGCATTTTCGGGACTTTCCATAACTTTCTTTATCAGAGACACAATAATATTAGACGACGGCATATGTTTAGGAAGAAAATTATCCAACTTATTCTTAAGTTCTGATATTTTTTCATTTGAATCTTCTAATTCTAGTATGTGCATAAATCTTCTGAGTGATTGTAACATCTTCATGATGAGTTTAATACAATATGTAGATATTATGGTGAGATCTGTTCCGATCTCAGCATTCATTAATCTAAGTAATGGCACAGGCATCGTGATAAATCTTATGAAGTTTGCTGCTTGGATTGGGCTTAGGTTATGTAAGCGAGTTACCATTTTATCAGGGTTTAATTTATCAAGAAGAGATGTAAACAAATTTGACGGCTTTGTCCCACATGGGTGAATGTTGGGGTTGGAAACTTTGTTCGATCACCTTAATCATAGCTCTGTGTAGATCTGGACATCGGTAAATAATTTCCAGGACTACTTCACACTGGTCGTCATTCTCCCAAGGCCGTTTTAATAGCTGCAGAGCTTTGTAAAGGTTTTGATTCTTATTACATCACTCACACACACCGAGCAGAGGGTCGGTAAAGTAAAGTCCAAGTTTATGTGATGTAAACAATGTAAAAGTATAATGTCAGATAACAGTCTCATTATTTCTTCTTTAAATTCACTTTTGTCTGAATCTGAATCCCGGAGGTCCCTTCCACATGAAGACTTTAACATATTGATCAATACTTGATGACTAAAGGTTTTCAATTTTAAAGTTTTAGATATTAGAGTATTATCAATCACATTTTCTTTAGGATGTTCAAAAACATTAACACAGCGTCGGCTTCATCTTGAACTATGGCCGGGGATCACTAGAGACAGCAATCCCGGTTTTTCCAATAGAGCTTTTATCAATGGCAGATGACCTTCGACGAGAAAAGATGTCATGAAGCGCACAAAACATGTTCTTACATTATCCTTCTCTTTGTAATTTGGCTTTTCTAAAATATATTGTAAATTCTTTGGAGTCAGTGGTATTTGATTTAAAATTTCAGACACCTAAATCAGAGCTCAAGGTTACCATGGAGGTCCAATAGATTGAGGATAATTTTTCTATGCCGCGGACCTGAACTTTTCACTGATCATAATTTCAACCGTTTGGTGTAAATGTATTTAAGAAGTATCTGCAAGCTTCCTCCGTGATGGATGTCATGTGGGGTAGAGAGGACTGGACCTTCAGTATGTTCAGGTGGAACAGATTGAAATACAGGAGTTGCTAGTGACAGGTTTTTCTTGTTATCTTGAGATATCTGTCGGAGAAGCTCGTGAGAGTTTACCACCTACTTTTAAATATTCTAGCATATAGTCCGCATCACTGTCTGGATTGAGGCAGACTTGCAGGAAACTGAGTTAACGCTGAAAATAACAGAAAAAAATATTTTCACTGTCAGAACATGAAAACCAAAAATATTAAAAATATCCATTAATAAAATAAGTAAATATTTATCTTACCCATGGTCTGGCCCTGCTTCAATGTCAACTCTTTACGGAAATGCTAATATTCAAATAATATGCATTTTTATTAATATTTCTTTTCTCTGTCTTAACATTTTGTTCATTTTTGAGGTTGCTCAACAACATTTTTTAGTGGTCTCTATGTTTTCTGAATTATTTTCGGTCTTTGTTTTCTTATTTTCACTTGGGGAATCATCTTCGTATTTTTCTTTTTACCCATTTTTTTTTTTAATTCACTTTTTTTAAAGTTTACTCATTATCCGTAAAGCAGTACCCACACGTGTATTTAGTTTGACTCGTAATCGTCGTATGTTTTTAAGTTGACACTTGACAGAGCAAAAAGGTGGGTTCAAAATGACAATTTACTAAAACATTTTTAATGTATAAACTTAACTTTTCATTAAAAATACTATTTTGTATGGGGTAAGTTTTCCTTGTATTGTTAATAAAGAAATAGACCATTGCCGATAGCTTTTAAAGCATAATTAAATTTATAGTAGAATGAAAAACCCATTAGAAAATGAGGGATAATATTATAAAAATTAAAGGAAAAATAATTTTACGGGTGTATCTGAGGTCGGGAAGGGTATATGGGTGGGTAATTAAGGGTTAAAAAATGGGTTTTCTCGATTTCCGACACAAACAAAAGTCCCTACGGATAAAAGTTTATATGGCAAAGTTGTAGGTTATAAAACATATCTAAAACTTTTGTATTTACATTTTTTTCACATAACCTCAAATTTTATGTGAAAAATTCGAAAAAAACCCAAGTTTTTGGTTTTTTATTTTTTATCTCTTACAAAAAACAATATTTTTTTCAACGAAAATTTGCTTGAAACCTTAGAGTTTTTGTATGTCCCAAAATACAATGTAATTTATTTTGATTTAGAAATATTTATTTTTTTTCAGCTTATTTTTTAGTAAAATATCGAAAAAAAATCAGTTTTAGCCGCTTAAAATGGCAATTTTTCTGTTAAATACCTACAAGAATTCCTTATCGTGGAGATCTTCCAGAGTACACAACTATTAAAAATAAATTAGAAAGAGCATTTTTTCATTAAAAGAGGGCATGGATTTATTTTATCCAAAAATGGTACTGTAAGTTAGAAAACTTATAATATTTTCTTTAACATACGAAAATAGAGATTTCAGCAAATAAAAAACATACCAATTTTTTTAAAAAAGGTTGAATATTTTTGGCTGATTAAGTTTTCGCTTTGGAACCATCCAAAACAAAAAGTTTTCACCAAATTTCGTGGACAAAAAAATTGTTTTTTTTGGAAGAGATAAAAATAAAAAAAAACCAAAAACGTGGATTTTCCAATTTGTTTCCCATAAATTTTTCCGGTTAGCTTGATAATAAAATTGTTACAGTAACAAAGATTTTGAATCTTTTTGTTACCTACCAACTTTGCCGTAAAAATTTATCCGTATTACTTTTTTTACTTTTGCCGGAAATCGGGAAAAACCCAATTTTTTAACCCTTAAATACCCCCACCCCAAACCCTACCCGATCTCAGATCGCCCAATAAATTATTTTTCATTTAATTTTTATAATATTCACCCTCCTTCTTCTATTGAGTTCATTCCACTATAAATTTATTTTCACTTGTTCATTAAATTTAAAAGGCTTCTGGTACTGCCCTGGCCCTAAAAGAACAAAAAATGCAAAATAGCTAGTAATGTGTGTGCCTTACTTATGTAATCTTTAGAATTTTTTTTAGCAAGTATTATTTATTTCTTTACTCATATGTTTTTAACTTGCTACAGTGTAACCCTGACGTAAACATCTTATAAATAGGAAAACAAACTTAAGAATTATTCGTTATAACAGAAAATTGGTTAATTTAAAAGGTATTGCTTCTGATAAAAAGTATGATTACATCTGAAATATATTTATTTGTCCCTTTATAATAATAGTTCGATTAATAAACAAATTTTTCTGTTAGGAAAAAAAATGAAATTTTATTAGTATTCAATGGATTTCACCTTTCGGGTGATTCACTGTTGGTACCTTGAAGCATAAAGATAAGTACCTGTGTCTTATTAAAGGAATTTAGGATGACTTTAGTTAGAGATATGTAACAACTTTTTTTCATACTTTAAAAATGTACATATCGTGCGTTTCCACTGTGCCGGAGGTTCCAAGGAAAGCACCGAAACTTACGGCAGATTAAATCACCTACTAATATTTTAAATGCGGAAAGTAAAATCTGTCCGTACTGTCTGTTACGGGGCTTTTAACGCTTAAACCAATGAACTGATTTTAAAAAGAAATTTGTTACCGACTTAGAGTTACCTTGAGAAAGAACATAAGATAGTTTTTTTCCCCAGAACTTTTGCAAGGTTCTCTTGGAAACCGCGATATAACCGAAACACTCAACGCGGGCGAAGCTGTGGGCGGAAAGCTTGGATATTGTAATAAGAATTAAATAATTACAGCTTATATTCTATACCAGAGACTACATTGCAAACGATATTCCCGTGTAGGATAGCAAATGATATCCCGTATCTTGTGTTTTTAATCAGGATTCTTCTGAGATTTAAGACGCTAGTTATTGATATGAAACTAATATTTTTCAATAAATGTGTTTAATGTAAAAGTATCTTTTGTTTCGACACAGCCAGGTTTTCGTTTTCGTTTCTCTTCGTCTCACGTTTCTATTATGAACAATATCTGGTAAACCGACGCGTTGGCTCGTTTATTTAGGAATTTTTAGTATCTATTTTGTGTGTTTTTTTATTTATTTAGTTTAGGGGCATTTTTAAAGTGAACCACCCCCCCCCCCCGTTCAAGAAGGACACAAACAATTTATAAAACAAACAATTTAATTCTTAGTCTATAACAGCAAAACCAATTACTCAATGACTTCCTTGTTACTTAGCAAACCGCCATACTGCTGTTGTAGTCGTTTAAACCCTTAACCACTTAACCACCGATTTTTGTCCTTTGTCCTTTTGGCCCTTAAAAATATCTGCGATTTATTTGGGATCTATGAGAAAAGAAATGGTTAAAGTTTAGCTAAATAAAATACATTGGCTAGTACTTAATTGCTTCTTTATTTGCGTTACAAAGTAACAAAAGTCAATTGAAAATGTTTATAAACATGGAAATAATATTTCTATGATATAAGGGGAAATTTATAGGCCACCATAAATTAATTATACTAAGAAAATGAAGATCTTTATTCTAAAATACTTTAAATTTTACAATTTTTTTCTTATTTCGATTAATTTGAATAAAACCTTAATTTTACAACTCAAATAAAAAAAAATCGAACAAATTTTAAAAAACGAAAACAAAAATTGCAACGCCTCAAGTTTTACATTTTTGTTTGCAGCAGAACCCAAACTTGTTTTACAATAAATTCCAAAGAAATTAGGTTAGTTTCACAATACAAAAAACATAGAAAAGCAGTTCTGTCGTTTCTTTTATATGTCAATCATACGTATAATGATTTGGTTTTCATTAGTTTTTTTCATTCACATTATATGTTTGTAAAAAAATTTGTCCAAAATCTCATCAGTAAATAAGAGAGAAACGCCAATTATCAAATGGTCTTAGTAGAATTTATTTATTAAGAATACTCTGAATATTGGATTACAGTTAGTTTACAACACCAGGCGTTTGGTGTACAAAATTATGCTGAGGTGTCCCTTGAACGAATGAAGTTAGGCATTGATTACTGAAAACCGGCGAAAACGATTACTGATACTCTCTGGACTGTTGATGGCAATATTTGAATTTGCAAAAAACGTTGCCGTCTCTGAGTCCCACATGTGGTTAAGAGTTAAACAATTTATTTAAAGAAATTAGCAAAAAGTAGTATTATTATTATTCGCCAATAGATGTCATGAAGAGTCATATTTTAAACGACTCCTTTTTTGTTTATTTTGCTTTTTCAACAAAATAACATTTTTCGGAAAATGATTCGCTAGCTATATCGATAATCTATCGCTTGCTACCGAAATCCCCTACATACTATATTTCTATGAAAAATCGTGGCGAGCGAGATTCGATATTCCCAATTAATTATGTATGTATATTTGCATAGAAGATTGCTCATTTAAAAATATAAGATTTTATTCAAACAACAGTAGTGACCGGCGATGTTCATTCAATATTTAGTATATTTGAGCATACGTAAATACAGCTTACGATACATGTTCCGGACCGCAATTTTAAAGTTAGAGAATAAAATAAAACAATACCAGTCATTCAATGATTTTTTAATATAAAAAACAAAGAAAAGTACAAAATCACTCTCAGAAGAGCAAAAATAAAAATTTCAAAAATATTTCAAGGAATATCACCCTAATTAATTATCAAGGAACGATTGAATACCGAAGATTCACTTTTACGTCCAAAAAAAAGGATAGTACGAAAATTAAAATTAAATTTCTTATCTATAATTATAATATATACTTAGTATTCCCATGAACGAACTGGCCTGATATAAATATACTTGTTGTGTTGGCATTAAATACTAAGTTTTATGACTTGTACTTAACATTTAAAAACAAGCATCGACGTGACATTAATATGTCTAAGACTAAGATTGTAAATTGTACAAAAAGATTAAATATGTCATTAAAACTAAGACTAATGTCTTAGTTTACCAGTCGAATATTAGCGAAGTACATTATGCTTCTTTAATAGAAATTACAAGACAAGAAAAAGGGAAACGGAGACAAGCTATCTAAAGGTGTCCTGTTGCTTCATGACAATGCCTGTTCATTACGGCTGATGTTTGAAAGGATTCAGTTTCATTAATGCTGGTTTACAGAATAAAAACATTGACCGTACACTAAAACACTATGGCTTCTACACAATTATTATTTAATGACCAAATTTAAAGTGACACTTATATAAAAAGAAAATTTACAAGCAATGAAATGTTGCAAGCAGCCATTTTTTGAGCTATTTTCAGAATAAAAATTATGATTGTTTTTTTATAAAACGTTTAGAGATGTTGATGAAACAGATTGCAGTTGTGTTAGTATTGGTGAAAATATGAAAAAAAAAATGGTTTAAATTTTATTTCCTTGATTAGTCCAAAGTTACACCAATACATCATGGGATTCGCCTCCAAATATGTAATAATGAATATACTTAGAATAATAGTCTGAAGTCCTTAAAGACATGTCTTATAATCCACTACCAAGCATTTTAAATGCAACATCAAATTAGTGGTTTCACTTTATAACTAGTACCTAAAATATTTTTGGTTGTTACAACCCATAAGACAGTCGCTCAAAGTACAATACAATTACAATAAATTCTAAACATAAATCTTACAATAAACTAAGGTCCATTTCTTATAAATTATAATCTAAAACTGAATTTAAATAATATTTTGTACATAAACTTATAATTAACCAAATTTTTGTACTTGTGTTTACCATACTCATGTAATATTTAACTCTTTATGCCGCTGTAAACTCTTGTTAATGATGTCTTCAAAGTTAGGTTCCAGTTCTTTGATCTTATTAAGGAGTACATCTGCCAGATTCTGTGTTGGATCCTCGTCTAGAAAAATACTCATAAGTATTTATCATGTAATAATCAACAGGATTTTTGTATGTATTTATAACTTTAAAGAATATTTTAATATGTTTGTCTTTATTTATTATAGTAGAAACTCTATTAACCAGACTAATTGTTTGCCGATAGGCATTCGGATAATTGAAAATCCAGATAATCAAATGTACAAAGAAAAGCCGGTTTTGTGCTTATGTAGTTTATAATATTATATGTTTATTTAAAAAATAAATAACAATATGTATTTGGTAATTTGCAATTGGTGATCCATGCATTAAAAATAGTAAGTTTCATTTGGTATAGAATATTTGGTAATTGTCATTTGTACGCCACTCTCGACAACACCACTCATCCCTTCTTGTCGCCGGACTTGTCCGTAGTCCGGATAATCGCGAATCCGTATAACTGAGGGCCGAATTATCGAGTTTCTTCTACTGTATAAGCAGTATTAAATTTGCGTTTTATATGTAGCTGACAGTATATATATGTATATATAAAATATAATTACCATCAAAAAACACGAGTTCACATTTGCCTCTATACTCGGGGCTCCTCTCAATAATAGATTCCAGCATTTCACAGAAAGTCATCAACCAACTCTTGTTTGTCCACATTAGCTAATTCTGATAAATGAAAAATATAATGTTTTAATACAATTATAATTATTGGTTTTATTAAGAATATGTATTCACGGTGTAGCATAATGTCTAATTACCTATAGACAAGCTTTCCGTCCGCGGCTTCGCCCGCGTCCAGTTCAGTTATATTGCGTTGCCAAGAGAACTTTTCAAAAAGTCTGGGATAAAAAATTATCCTGTTCTTTCTCAAGGTCAACTCTATGTCTGTACCAAATTTCATTAAAAATCAGTTCAATGGTTTTTGGTGTGAAAGAGTAAGAGGAACAGACAGAGTTACATTTGCATTTATAATATTAGTAGGGATTGTGCTGAATTTTCCTTGACTTCAATTATTTTCGTACCTAAGCTCTTTGGCTCCAGCTAATGAAATGGTCAACTGTATACAAATAGAACCTTTTTGTCTAAACTGGATCATAAAATGAAATACATCCTTTTTTTTTCATAACAAATGCTTTACCATGCCTCTCGCATCATATCTTACCCAACAAAATGATTCTTTAAAATGGGATGCCCTAACCGAATAGGAAAAAAGCTAACCTTTATTATCTTACACTAACCTTGATACACTGCAGTCTTATCGAGCACTCTTTTCAAAGTATGTAGAGGTGTAGCACATTCAGCGATCACATACACTGGCCGGGCTCCACTACGGATTATCTTGTATGGAGAGTTCTTATACACGCGATCCCTCACTCCAGCCACATGCTTCGTCACTTTCGACAGTGGCTGGAAATGAAAGAACTTGTAATAGTTAGCTTTAAATACCCCAACACCGACCGTTCGAAAGTTTTTCCTTCAACCATTAATTCTAGTGAATAATCTTGATGCAAACTTTCATTAATAATGTAAATTGATAGAATTATGAATCGTTTTCTAATACAAAATTTAATGTTAAAACACTCAATAAAACAAAACAAACTCACTGAACAGTCATCTAAATATGGTAAATCCTTGTTTATCTTATTAAAATGCTTCAGATCCGGCGGGCAGAATAGAGATTTAGTCACCACTATGAGCATTTTTCTTGAACTGGAAAAACTACAGTGTGTCTTCCTTCGTACTCGAGGGATATTGTTTTTCTAGACCGAAGAAGTTATGGCCCATCGCTTGGGAATAATATGGACGAGGTAGCCCTCGAAAAAACTGAACGCCATTCCGACTCCATAAATTAATAACGTAGAAGTTTTGGCTCTGCAAGGGCACAATGGACTGGGTAAATTGACTTAAAATGAAACTTTCATTGTAAAAAAATTTATTCAAACGACCAGATGTGTTTTATATGTCACTGAAGTTTACAGTCAATTTTCGTTCTACATTTATTCCGATAAATTCAAATTTTTTTATGCTAAAGACATTGATAGTTTTAATAGTATGTACAAAAATTTCTTGTTATTTTATATCTGATGTCTATATTCTCACGTAATTTCATTAGCTTGGAAAATGTACCATTTAATTATATAAATATTTATCCAGGGTAAAAAATATAATTTGATTGTAAACCGAAATTTTATCCGAATCTAAGGAGGATAAAATTATTTCAATTGCTATGGCAACTAAAATCCCTGGGAAATACCCCAATATCAGTCTATCAGATTTTTTGATCAATATTTTGACATTTAAAATCGCGAGATTCAGTCTATTTCATTATTTTATATGTATTGTTATTACACATTATACTGGTTTGGTAATAAACTTTTAAAAGTGTAGTAAGACAAAAGAACATTTATTATCCAAACGTGATTTGTTAGTGAGAAAGGAAAAATCAATACGCTGTGAATAATAACTTGTGATAGTAAAACTAAATGAAAAATATTAGTAAAATACCACTCGTATTTTTGAAGGAATTAATATAAAAATGTAATGTATTTTCTGAGTTAGTGAGTATTATTTGTAGTGAGAGTTAGTGAGTATTATTTTGTAATAGTTGCTGTCCCTAAACTGCAATAAATAATAAGCTTTACTTTCACAGCTGTCTTTTTCCTAAACATACTTGTTGAGTGTTTAAATTTAAGCTGCCATTCATGAATTTTATGAATCTACAAACATTTTATACATAAATTGGATGTTTCTATGTATAGTCATGAGTGAATTTCTTGAAAAATATAGTTTCTTATCATACTCAGTGACTACTTATTACACTCAAATGTAAATCTAAATGAATAAGTTGTTTTTATTTATGAACATTCATGCCCACTGCATTTAAATCTATGCCTTATAGACACATAGTTTTTTTTTATTTCTATAGCAGTAATGTGCAGACAGCCTCACTGATGTAAATCGGGGCATGCACAGAGATTTGGGATAGGATAAGAAGAATATGTTTGAAAAAATTTGCAATTTTCACCATAAATTCCTCCTCTAAAAACATTGATTATATTCACACATCAAGTTTAGTAACATTTTCGTTCTACCACTAGCAGCGGCCCATAAAAAAATGTTAGTTTTTTTAAGTTGATAGGTTGGCACATTGAAGTAGTTTTGTTTAACAAATCATGAATCTAATGAAATATTAAATGTCTGTAAACTTTATTCTAATAGTAGTGTATGGTTTAAAGTATCTAAGTAAGAATTAAACAATGTAGGTTTAGTTGTTGTATTGGCAGGGTAAGCAGTGCTTATTTGGAAACAGGAAAGGGCAACCGTCTCTCTCACTCATTGAATGAATCGCAGCCATAAAAGACTAATTCACTCCAATCTTCTGTGAGAGGGTGGGTACTTCCCGATCGAGCCAGCCTATGTTCAAGCTATAGTAACTTGACCACAGCTAGGCTCTCTACCTTATCCAGAATTACAAAAATATACTATGTAACCACAAAAATATACTTACTATTTCTGGATATTTGGTGACAAGGTAAGCAATAAACAGTAGTTTAAAGTTCTCATCAAAAACATGTTCTCTGTTATATAGTAAAATACTCATTGAAGCTGCCAGCATCATGATATACATTTTGTACTTGATGAACATTTTATTAACTTTAATAGTTTTCCCATATTGATATCTTGAATATGCCATAGAGATAACTTGGTTAAAAATATTTATCAGAAGAAAAATATACTGTGAATCTAGCTAAAAAATAAATTATGTATTAGAATATACAATACAAATATACAATTCAAACAAAACATATCATTATGGATGTTTAAATTTTCAAATGAATTTAACAGTTTTCTCAAACAATTCAGAAACTAACATAATAAACTGGACTTTAGAATATCTACAAGCATCAACCCATTTTTTTCTTTCAATTGATTTATATAAAGTATGTCACATATAATGATACAATAAGTAAAAAAAATAATAAATAACTTACCAACACTTGTAATTTATTGTATTCATGATATCCATTGTAAACCCCTGAGCTCCTAAAAACACACAACAGTTGATTCCAATCAGCCTTTATAATGATAAATAAAATTATATTCCTTTAAGGGCCTTGTGGGCTGATACTGCATTTATAACAAGACCAAACAAGATCAATAGGGTTACCAAACATTTAACAATATTATATTCAAATATCACTTGATGGGCAATATAAACTTATGAAATGTGTACAATTTTAGTATGTTCCCATGTCTTTCAAAGTCATGCAGAAAGTTTAAACTTTTAAAATAATCATGAGGACTATAAAATTCATTCATCAATTTATTGGGTTTGTTCATTTTGTACATTTTGGTCACCCTGCAGAAGTAATGTTTAAGATAAGCTTATTTAGAAGTTATATTTCCAACATCCCGGTAACCTTATCGTTTACTAATCACTCACCACAAAGTATTACTATAAACATTGTTTCGATTCCATATATATAAACTTTATTTCTCGTTTCATGTAACATTTTGATTTAACACCCCGATTTGGTAAGAAAAAATATTATCTAAATATTGTGTTATACAAATTTTTACACTTAATAAAAATAAAGAAACTAATATGTTTAAAAATGATACAGGTTAATATAACCTACATTACATTAAAACTTTTATTTATATATTGCATGTGCATTATAACTAAATAATTCCTTTTAATGTTCAACGTTCGTGACACAAGCATATTACTTCTAACTTTGTAGTAATCTAGTATTGCCTATTGGACCAATAGTATCGGCCACTGGGTGTCTGCCAGACATGATTGAAAGAATAAATATAAAACAAATGTGCTGCCATATTAAAGAAAATAAAATATGAAAATAATAAAACGCTTTTTTTTCTTTTCGATGGTTATAATTTTATTCATTGGTGAAGCGCAAAAATAGCCACATCATTTTAAATATAATAGATTCATCATTTAATTTATAACCTCGCTTAGAGTACTAATTAATTGATTTAAATTTACTAGCCCAGCATAATTTTATTGTTGCGACGCGACGTAATTACATATAAAAAACAAATTATTATTCATTCATTCATTTCGTATGGGGTTTCACTTAATATCTTTTGATCTTTATAAATTTCAATATCATATAGTAAAATAGGGCCACTAGGTACCTACATATTTTAAATTTTTGTACATTTATCAGTAATCAGAACCGTGTGTATATTATTTAAAAATTTAAGTCTCATCCCAAATATTCTTGTTACCTAATTAAATATTTAGGAATGTAAAATACCAACCAGTCCCTATTTTTTAAAACGAAATAGGGTTGATAAGGAATGCGAGTGGTACTATATGGAAAAACTGTTAAGACTGCATAAATTTTGTAAACAGGTGTTTAGATACTTGTAATTAAAAATTATCTAAGGTTCTATGTATTTACTCTTGGCGTAGATAATTACCGATATTTTGGATTTAAGCTAGAATTTTGAATTGAAAATTTAATCTATACTACATAACTAAGTTTTAAAACATTTTTTTATATCAGAGGCAATCATTGAAAATGTTAATAATTTAGTGGGAATTAAGTTAATTAATAGTTAAAAATGTTACTTATAATTACATTTTTTAAATGAAAACACAACTGTCCCTTTAAATCCTTTACCGTCCTCTTTACATATAGTACTTCTCTAATTATTATATCTTAGGTAAGCTGTTTATAAGTCTTTAGTTATTTCATTACGATAAAACATGAAGGATTAAAAGTCTTAACTGTAATATCTCTATATTATTCAGATTGCATACTAAAAAAATATATTCACATTAATTGTTTTTGATACAAAAATAACTGAACAATCAAAAAAATTTGATAAAGTTCAAGAAACTTCAAATAGAGGGAATGAATCTTAGCTTCAGAAAGTTGATTTGGCAATTCATATCTAACTTTATATAAAATAAAAAGTGATAGCTCCAATTGTAAGTATTGTATTAAACATTTATCTAATATTATGGGGTATGCTTTGTACAATTTTAGAGATATTAATTATTATCACTATTAATTCAACCCCGATTTTTTCTAATCTTCCCTGGATTCCTATACACTCCGTTTGTGGGTGCTACGTATAGCATGTTGACAAATATTGAATATACAGGATGACTGGTGAATTACTATCAATACTTAAGGAGAATACTCGGTACATGATTCTCATTCGAATTATGTAAAAAAAATGGAACTTAATTTTTGACCAAATTTCCGTATAAATAAATAAAGTGTGGACACGTTCCAAGTGTGGACGCCTGAGGTGGCGTGCTGATACAACACTACGCCGCCGCACGCGCGTGTGTGTGTGTGTGTGTGTGTGTGTGAGTGTATACCTAATCTGTAGGGTGTTCACACGATGCGTAATTAATTACATAACTTTTGGTTAACTTTACTTAGAAGTTTATTAATATTTATGTTATATTTTTTTTTTATTTTGTAATATATGATCGTCCAAATATCACCATAGTAATTCACCAGTCACCCTGTATATTTATTAGAAAAATACATTAATTACTATAATTCAAAATTAAGATGATTAAAGTATATTTAAAATTGATTACACTTTGTGTTCATATTTCACATCAAAAATACATCAATTTAATAAAATTATCTAGCGATGTCATAAACACATTTAAAAAAAAAAATAATATATCGGTCGTATTTAACTTGCTTCTTGTAGTACCCGAAATAAAAAGTAAAAATTAGATAAACTATATGTCTATTTTCTCAGAAGACCTATTCGTCTGTGATATTCAATATTAATATTGGGTTCTAAAACAAACAATCAATCAAAAATGAGTATTTAATGTGTAGTCTTCTGTTTTGAGAAATTATATTATAGGTGGGGTTTTTTAGATGTATGAAAACATTTTGAACAAATTGAACAAACATATTTAAAATGACTAGGATTCTAGGATTGCTTGTGTCAGAAAAAAAACCTTAGGAAACTTAATTTTTTCCAAATCAATTATTTAAAATTTCTTGTTTTCTGTATCCACATTTTCATTTCCGAAATCTCTCAATCCACGTTTGCTTTTTGTCTAGCCCCACGCAGTTTAACGAAATATTGTATAAAATGCACAAGATCTAAATAAAACTATAAAAAAAGGATTTTGATGACATAATATATTATGATGATACTCCTGAACCTGAAATATATGTTAAAAAAATAATAATATTTTATAATCTGTACAAATATATCAGAATCAGATACATCAGATGTGTTAGTGTCAAGTCATTAATCATTTTATTTTTATTAGATACTTCATACCTGTGCAACTATGAAGTATGACAATTGAAGAATAACATGGGATTAACGTATTTTGAATGTTATTAATAATAGAAAATGGCTATTTGTAAATATTTTCACACAAGGATATTGCCGATTCGGTCAGAATTGCAGAAATGAACATGTATTTGCGAGTAAATATTCTTATAAAGGTATTTAGTCTTTTAATATATAAACTTTTTTAATATTTACACTGATTTATAGTGGGAAGGTTTTCTTATATTAATTAATTATTTTGTTTTAGCTCCACAGGCTCAGAATTTCAACAAACAGAGTGGATAACTATAACACAAATATAAATACTTTTGGTAATAGTAATGCTTCGGCACTCTTTCGCAACGCTGTTCAGAACACGTCGTCATTCCAAAACACTAGTCCTTCATTATTTGCACCTACTCCTGCACCGAGACCATCCGTCCTTCGACAGACTTGGACAACAGCCGAGTTTTGCACAACAGAGTCAAGCTAAATCCATTTTCGCCAACGCTAATCAAAACGCATTCAACCAAGGTTTCCCATGTATGGTGTGGCGACACAGCATCAAGTAGCAGCCAAGTCCACTCTTTGCCGAAGCCAGCAAGAATATTTTTGGTCAAACACAGACCAGTTTTCAATCAGGCCCCTGTAGTAGCTAATGTTTTTTGACAGGGGTGTAACTCAAAACATATCCCAGCCTCCCTCTCAACAAAGCCAAACCATTTGGCAGCAGTAGTGTGTTTCAAATTTCTCAACGGGGCACCATCAAATCCTTTTGGTGTAACATTTGAACAAACTAACAATGAAGATAGCAGTGTTTATAGTGAAATAGAGTTTTTTATCAGAAGCTGATGTCAATGCTTATGAAAGTGCTGATTTTAAATTAGGTTTTATTCCTGAACTGCCTCCTCCGAGGACGTTGTGTGTTTAATTAGTTAGTCATATATTAATTATTTTTAAATGTCAATATTATTAATAATTGTGAATAATTAATTTAATAATTTTATTGTAATGATGATTTTATAAAATAGACATATTAAACTCCTGATTGTATACTTATTTATTTTATTTTCTATCATATATCATCACCATGTTTGAAATTACAACACACATAATATGTAATATATATATGTTGAAGAACCTTGTTATATTTGATTTTTACAAAGTTTTGATGGCAGCAATGCTGCCATCACAATCACTGTTTTCAGCAGTCCAGCTTGTCTATGTTCCATTTTCATTTAACTATTAATACACTCACAAACACTGTCACTACTTTATTTCAGACTTTAACTAGCACTTGTAATTAGATAATCTTCCTCCTATATAGCTCTCAGAATACCATGTCCTCTTCCACCAACATTTGGGAAATTAAAAATGGTTTTTGTTAAATCATTACATTTACTCTTTGAATTTGAAATATTAAACTATGACAAATAATCTTAGTTATTCAAATAAACACAAACACATTACATTAGTTTTAGTAATTAATTATTAAAATATCCAATCTTAACATTGCAACATAACAGTTTATAGTAAACATAATTGATTAACATTGATTGCGAATTGATTACTAATTAAGTTCCCTTTTTTACTAAAAGTTACAGAATGAATAATCCTCACATATTACAATGCATGTTACGAATTAACTTTTTACTGTTCTTTATTACAAATCATACAATGATCTCTAGAACAAATAATTTTTTGTACAAGTCATATTCACCCTCTAAAATAAAATACCTTATGAAACAACTACCCCTTATAAGGGTTTTAAATGTTGCGCCGATATATATATGAATATGCAATTCCCGGATAACCATAAGAAATAAGTTTAATACTAATACATTTTTTTGGTCCACATATTTTTATAATTAGGGTTTAAATACAAATTTTTTTTCCCTACTATCATCTTAGAAATAAATTAAAACATCTGTGTTTGGGAAACAAATAAAGATAACTTCCACATTGAGGGATGAAATGTCATATTTTTTATTTTGCAACTGATAGGTTCATTAATTTGTAGGAATAGAACAACAAACATACTTAAAATATATTTTATTTTTCAAATCAGTTATCAATTTTCACCTAAATATATCTGTTTATCGCTGGACGCTGAAAGTACTATCGGTTCACGACTGTGGAAATGTACATCATTGACGGAACCATTGTGTCCCGGGAAGCTTGTAGAGGACTCGTCTTGATGTAGTGTCCCCATACATACAAGAAACGATCTGAAAGATCCCAGCCGCCACCTGGAAAAAAAAATTATTAGTAGTAGGTACTTTTCTTTGTTTAGGTAGAGAGAGGAGCTTTTACGATGAAGGTGAGCGTTTAACGCGTTAGATAGTGGACCCTTAAACCTACACCTGGGTCACAAGTCCCAGTCACTGTTGAAGCTCCTTTCACTACAACGATGGACCCGACACACGCACCGTGAATACATGGAATGATGAGAGGTTTTTGTCTCTCTGTATAACATACTTCCAGAAGAAATTTAGAATTAAAATCTTTCTTTCATATAATAATTCATCAGATCTGATTAAATAGCCGTTTAGAAGTGGGTGTATTAAAAAATAATTAGCTGTTGTAATACACACAATTTAAAACTACTGTTAAATATTTCAATATCAATCAGATTCTGTGATTCTTTATAATATAATGGTAACTCTGTTTTAGTTTTGTAAAACTAAAGAAAGAAATTTAAAATGTGTGAGAAGTAATGTACAATATAATCAAAATCAGATACTATAAGTCAAAAAATGGTATGCATCAATTGGAGACTGTAATAGAAAATACTTTTTAATAAAGATTCAGAATAACTATCGGCAGGCTAATACTATTATAAGTTGTTTTTGGTTCGAAAATAACCCTGATTCATACCTTGGAGCCATCCGGAGACCAGCAACATCTCAGCAAGTTCTTCTCGAAGTTGTGTGAGTGGTCCCGATAAGAGTTTCACACAACGTTCAGATGGAGCAAACGGACGAACATCCCATATACGAAGAGTGGAGTCACTCGAGTTGGAGAGTAAGTAGGATCCATCGTAGGACAACGATAAACCTGGATAGAATTTTGTTATGTATTAGTTATGCTTGCTCGATGTTATTAAAATAATATGATGTCAAGTGCAGTCTCGGAACTGGACCCACTCTTCTGGTGAATCTGGTAAAAGCCACATGGCTAAGAGCTAGTCCAGAAAGAGCGAATTCGTAGCGATTCTTTCGTGCGTATTTACGTTCGACCTTTTCGCCCAGGAAGAGCGTACCTACGTGCGAATATTTTAGGGATGAATTTATGCTCCATGTCCCTGGATATATGCATTCGCTCTGGAATTCGCGCGTTAGCCGGGAGCAACAAGGCGACTCTATTTATGTAGTCTAGCGTTTTGCACACGATTTACGCGCGTATTTTTGAATTCGCGCGATGCTCGTGGGCGCGATGTATTGGTGCTTTGTATCTCAATGACGCGCGAATGAGTTCGCGAAACGATTCGCCCTTTCTGTGCCAGTTCTAACAGCATTATAGATATAAAAAAAAGTCATGTGCAGTGTAGATTATCATATGAATTAGTTTTGCTGTCATTCAGTTTGCTACTTAGCCACTACATACATGACAAATTTAATATCGTTTTATTGAATGCTACAGTTTTGTTACAGGTGTCAGCTTCACATTATATACTACAATTATTACTTGCATCACACCACATATAAAATGTCTTATATATTAATATGAGTAAATAAATCATTTAAAATCAATTTGGATCCTAACTCTATGTTTCTGTGGAATTGAAAATATCTAGAATCTTGTGTAAATATCAATAATTCTACTTTGATATTAAATATCCTATAATAAGTTACAACAACCATCGACATATACTAATGGACCAATGCCTTAGAGATGAGAATTTGTGTGGCACTCCGAAAGAAAAGAGAGGAAACGAAGTTTCGGTCTATCTTTATCTCTCTCAAAATAGTACCGTACTTAAGACGTTATGAGCCCCTTCTGAATATTTATTATTTCCTAATGTCATAATATACAGCTTTACGTCTAACCTCACTTTCTCTGATTTTTAGCATTTTTAGTTATTAATGACGTATGAATTATATATGGTTTAAATTAATTATTTTAATCAATAAATTTTAAATCCGTGTAATATACATCTATGAAATATTTTTTTTAATTTCGTAGATTTAACTCATTACTCGAATATACAAGAACGTTCTTAAATATATTTATAACCATATAAAATGTTATATACATGTATATTAATAATAATTATCAAAGGATCTATTTAAATACTTATAATTATTACCCTTACAAAAATAATTAATATATTCATTTAGAAAAAATATATTTATCATGTATGAGGAAAGAGATAGTGCTAGAACCGAAAGCATAGGCGATCTCTCTCACTCTTTTCAAACCTGGTAAAAACTACTGCAGATTATACGAGTACGGAATGTCCATTAGTATATGTCGATGACAATAACTATGAAAATCAATAGAATAGTATATAAGTGTTTATTACCGGTGACAGTGTCCTGTGTGTCCTTTAATTTTGTATGATATCTGATTGTTCCGGATGTCCCATACTTTGATAACATTATCTATTCCCCCAGATATGATTTTCTCCGCCGTGTCATTGAACAAAACCGCCGTAACGGGGTATTCACTGTCAAACGAGGCTATTGGGTTACGTTTTCTTGCATCCCACAGTTTTATGGTGCTATCATCTGATGCCGAAACCAAAAGTTCTGGACCCCTTCTCGCCCCTGAAACGTTAAGAGATGCTGTTATAAAAAAAACAGATCAAAATTGTGGAATATTCTTTCTAGCTTAAATACACTCGACATAATTACGATATCATGTAAATGCATGCATCGTCATTTTCATTTCATTATAAAATCTCAATAACTTATAATTTAATTTATTTTCGCATTTGGTCACCAGGGATATGGGTGTTCTCATCAATCAATCATATATATTATAATATTATATCAAATGAATCAAGTCAACTTAAGAAGCATTATCAATTTATATCATTTTTATTAGGTGTATGAGTGACCAAGTTCCCATAAAATAATGATGTAATAAATTTATGTCTATGTAGTATGACATTCTGGAGTATTATCTCTGATAGACAATATCTATATATAATACTAGCTTTTGCCGCGACTTCGTCCGCATGGAATAGTGACTTTCGGCAGATTTTTGGTTCTTCCCACATAGTTCCCGTTCTTGCGGGGTTTTCGGAATGGTCGAGTTCCCGTAGAATTTTCAGGATAAAACCTATTTTTTTTTAATTCACAATGAAGTACTCTTAACCAACAACATATTTATTTGTTTATTTGAATAAAGATTAATATTATTATGTTGATACAACTTAAACAAATTATTTCGACCAAATTAATTACCATAAAAAACTATTTTTGTGAGTTAATCTTAAAAGATAGACATATACTGTCGCGGATTGTTTTTAGATCATTAAAAGAGCTATTATTCTTTAATACATATTTTTTGTGTATCTTGAACCGTTTTCACGGCGCACGCAACGGAAGGCTTCAAAGATGAAATAATTTCTCCCGTTTTTTTACACATTTACCCACTATATCTTTGCTCCTATTGGTCGTAGCGTTATGTTATATAGCCCACAGCCTTCCTCGATAACTGGACTATCCAACACAAAAAGAATTATTCAATTCGAACCAGTAGTTTCGGAGATTAGCGCTTTCAAACAAACAAACAAACAAACTCTTCAGCTTTATAATATATTAGTATAGCTGATATGGCAAGGCATGTTGAACACAGATAAAATACAATTCAAAATTATATAAGGACAACAATACAGATGTATTTCATTAATACATTACAACTTCTATTTTTCCTTGACCTATTCTTGCAAAAATCTTTCACGAATATAGGGGAATTTAAATCTAGAATTTTATTCATTTAAAGATTGGAATAGGTTATACAAATAGTATAATATACAGGGTGACTGGTGAATTACTATCAATATTTAAGGAGCATACTCGGGTACATGATTCTCATTCGAATTATGTAAAAAAATTAGGTACTTAATTTTTGACCAAATTTCCGTATAAATAAATAAAGTGTGGACACGTTCCAAGTGTTCCAAGTGTGAACGCGTGCGGCGGCGTGCTGATACAACAACACGCCGCCGCGCGCGTATGTGTGTGTGTGTGTATACCTAATCTGTAGGGTGTTCACACGATGCGTAATTAATTACATAACTTTTGGTTAACTTTACTTAGAAGTTTATTAATATTTATGTTATATTAATTTTTATTTTGTCATATATGATCGTCAAATATCACATCCTCAAATATCGATAGTAATTCACCAGTCACCCTGTATATAATAAAATTGGATTTAAAGTTTGTATGGATGTTTGTGACTCTTTCATTAAAAATAAGCAAAGAATAGCTCTAGAAAAAAACACAACAGTGATAAAGTTGAGACATCAAAATAAGACGTAGACAATAGTCTATCCTAGATTTCCATACAAATGCCATGGGATCAAGGTTTATCAAACTTATTTTATAAAGTCACAAGACATACTAAAGAGTATCAATATTGTTTATTTTAACACAATTCATAAATTTCTCTCTGAGACCACTCACAGACAAAGTTGTGGACAAAAACTAGTGTGAACCCATATAATTATATATATTACATTAGTGGTCAGTAATGATTATACTAAGGAAGGAGCCATTCAAAAAATAACTGATTTTAGCACCTTAAATGTGGAGCATAGTTACACACTTACTAACCTGATACAGAATTGACAAAATTTGCATGTCCTTTTAACTTCTTGATTCTTACACCAGTGGGTACATCCCATACGGCCACTGTGTTGTCGGTAGCACATGTGTACATGTGTGCACCGTCGGGTGAAAAACATAACTCCATTATAGCCCCCGTGTGACCTTTCATTACCATTACATTGTCACACTGTCCATACACATTCCATAGCACTGAAATAATAAAGTGTAGGTTTCATTCCATCATATTGTTTTATTTATAAGTCGGAGTGGTTTTAATGAGTGATATAAGTAACCAGTTACAAGAATATCTTATATAGAATTGTAAATAAAGTTTCATGTAACAGATATAAAATGAAACCAACATATCTGTCTGTCAAAACCTGCCGAAGCTAAATGTTTGCCCTCAGGATGAAACTTTGCTGTGAAAATTTCGCCTTGATGTCCTTCTAATAGCATGATAGGAGCATAAAGATTTGATGTTCTGGGTACCTATAAAGAAGATACATATTAAACATCTAATATAAGTCGTATTCTACGTGAATATGGTTGATACAAACCGAGGAGGTTACTACAGCCTTTTCTCTCGTGCCAACAACAGATATTTCATGTCGAGTTTTCTTTGCCGGCACCACAGCATATTCTTCAGCTTTTCTTTTTATTTCCAGTTCCGGCATTTTTATAGCTTTATATGTATTGCTAGTTCCGAATTTACTAAAAAAGTTCAAACGACGCGTTCTTGTTGTTTTTGACATTTAAATGTGACATGTGACACTTAAAATTTTTATGACAGCTGACAGGTAGTACTCATTTAATCGTACGATTTGTCTTACCAAGTCAAAACTAAAAGTTTCCTGCCTATTAATAATATAAATTGTAAAGAATTCATACAATAGTTACTAAACATTCAAATTGTTGTTATACTCCATCAAATGTAGCTTTGTGGTGAAAGAAGAGATGTATATATTAATAAATATATACATTATGCACGGTGGATAGGGTTTAGTTTTTATCTGCCAAATATGAAATGTATACTTATGCAGGGTAATGGTATTGTCAATTGTCAAACCATGCTTGTGATTTATTTAAAATTTCAAAATAAATAATGGGTTTGAGACCCTCAATTCTCAAAGTTGTAAAAATAAGTATGTTTATTTAGTTTAGTATCATTATAATTATTAAAATGTCAAAATTACAATTAACATTGGCCATTATAAAGCCGCACGCCGTTTAAAAATCCTGTCGCATTATCATATATAAGAAACGTTATTAAAAATACATTTGTTGTGGTTAAAACTAAAAGGATCGCTTTAGATAAGGAAACAGCTGGTAATTTTTTACAAGGAACATTTTTGAGAAGTTCTTTTATAACCGCTTAGTAACATTCATGAGTAGGTTTGTATTGGTTATACATATTTATCTAACGTAGTGCAGAATCTATTCATATGTTGCTTGATATTCTTTAGTGGTTGCGTGGATCTCCATATCATTGGACACACCAATGCTATCGAACTATGGAGGAAAATGCTGGGTCCAACCAAAGTATATAGAGCGCAGTATCAGGAGCCCTACTGTTTGAGGGGCATGTTTGGACTGTCTGATACAAGGAATGTAGCTCATGGTTCTGGTGAGAGTTTATACATCATATATATTCATTATTTATCTACTATAACTCAGGTCTGGAAAGAATATTAAGATGTACTGTGTCATTTTATATACTGCTATATGTATATTGTAAGTTTAAAGAGTTTATTTTCTCATCAAAACACAGAGTTTACATAAAATGAGATTAATAGCTACATTAATATGTAGTTACAATATTACACCTCTGGAGTGCCGGTATCTAAACAAACTATTATCGTCTAAAACCGTATTTACATACTCCTTCAGCTTTGTCTTAATATATTCATACTACTGCCTTCCTTATATCATTTGGTAAATTGTTATTTAACTGCACTCCATCAAATAATATAGTTTTTTGACCGAACTTTGTACGTACACTAGCCAGCCCAATTGTTAATTTACCATCCCAATAGTCATATTGTAAATTTTGTTTTGAAGCAACTTGTAAATGTCTACCTCATGTGGAATGTTGCATAGACTTTAAAAAACCAATACTTCAATGTTCTTTAATAAAAACTAATTCTAATGAGTGTTTTTTGTGTATTTCAGATTCAGAAACATCAGCAGAGAGGGAAATTAAATTCTTCTTCCCAGATTTCTCATTTTACAAGTGGCATACCTCTGATGAATTGACTTTCCGGAAAGGACCAATAATATTCAACCATCACATGTTCCAGCATGTCCGGAAGCTGTGACCCGTTAATATTAATAGCTTTAATTCTAATTTATAAAATTAGAAATTTGTTACCATTGACATAGTCATTTATTTATAATAAATTATAGATTTTACTAGAACTGAAATGTGTTTTTTAATTGTTTTGTTATAATTGTTTTAAATTTAATTTGAATTATGATGTTCCCAAATGTTACTATATAATCTTCAATGCTACTAATATAGCCAGTAAATATTAGCCTAGTGTCATCACTTAATATGAATATCTGTCTTTAGTCAATCAGTATATTAAAAATCAAAGTATAAAGTAAAATATATGCATGTATTCAATTTCCAAAAGCATATACAATCACTGTAAACCATAAAAACATTAAATCATTACTAGAAACATAAAATAATTATACTAAACTACAATAATTAACTTATACATGGACACCACAACTTTTATATTTATATGACAACTTACAATTTACAAGCACAGTCATAGAGAACATTCAATTTTTAGCATATTTACACACTCTTATATGAAGGCACATCTAAAGCACACGGCAATGTCGTACATAGGACTATTATTTCATCACAAAACAATTTACAAACTCTTATAGAGACACACAAACAATGGAATGAAAACAGTTAATGGGATGTAATTTTCATATCAAAAGGAATGATTCTAGTGGACGAGTAAAATAAGGCCTTTGCTTGTCTATATTTCCGATCATGGTCGACCGTTACTCCCCAATCTTAACAAACACCTTTGGCCGCGAGAACACCTTGATGCCCTCCTCTAACTTGGCGAGCTGCTTCTCAAGCTCCATCTTCCTGTTCCTCATCCTCAACGTGTCAGTTTTAACTGGCATTTTATTTAATTCACTTACAAGTTCTGCAAAGCCTGCAAAGAAGTTTATTTTTTATCCTGCATAATAAAACACTTGTAAATGATGAGTAATAAATGTTTTTACTATTCCGCAGCATGCGAAGGGTTTCCTTTCTTTCGTTATCGGGAAGTGTGACATGTCCGGGAGGACAAACGGCATGTTCTTCTTTCGATACCGGCCTCGTCCAACTCCTTTCCGACTTCTTTACGTTCACGCAAATATTTTGGAAGTACACCCTTCTGGTAGCCTGCAATTTAAGAAAAATTATAATGATCTCATCAATAAAACAGAATTAAAGAGCAGATTGACAATTATATTACTGTTTATATTACTTGATGGTAAGTAAGGATCTTTTTCCTTCCTATCTAAATGGAGTTGAGCTTGCTACGGTTTTTCTCTTCGAGCATATCATCTCCAGCTCTCCGAGGTGTGGTGTGCTATAGGTCCTGGACTCTATGTCGTTCAGAGTCCCCGCTAGCCTTCTTCACGTCACCTTCATCTTCTTTGGTCGGATATAGCATTGTCAACTTAGTGCTTTTCTGCCAATTTCTGGGCTAAGTTAGACTCGACAGTCTGGCAGCCGATGTCTCGCAGCCGACCCGATGATGACTCCGATGATTTAACCTCGTCGTCATACTCTTCTTCCTGCTGCTTCATTTGTCTCATTTCTTTTCTCTTGAGGAACTCTGCCATATCGCCTTTCTTTATTCGTATTTCGTTGTGTTTCTTTGCGTGAGTTCGAGGAACTCGTTTTGCCAACATTCAACGTAACCTTGCCACTCTTATTGGATGGTGAAGACCTCACTTGGCCGAGGGCGCTCGAAGCCGCTTGTGTGTTCAGATGTGGCGGATGAACAGATTTCAAAGTAAATTTAGGTTCTTTCGGAGATTTGCCTTGAATCATTTTTAGCTGTTTCATATTTTCCTTTATAAAATTCTTTTTTTGCTCCTTTTCTAAAAAAATAATAATTGAGGCATGATTAAGCTGAAAACCGAACTGTCCCATATAAAAGTAATATAAAATTGTTATGAATAATATAATAGCAAATATATGTACGTGAAATATATCTGATTTAAATTTTCATATCACTTTTTTTGAATGTAACGAAATTTAAAACAATCAACTTACTTGGTTCAGGAAATATACCTTTCAAAGTATACATGTTAAGTGATAACTATAAACACTGACTTCAGAAAATTCACACTCATCATTTAACATCCAGTTTTCTAAACAAGATAAATTTGTAACATTTTGCACTATGAATATTTAAAGAAAATTGTTCGATTATCCCCTTTTGAGTCCTATGATTTTTCGTTCGATTATTGTCACTTATTTTTAAATAACTGTCACTGTTGGAGCCATAGACACATAATTGTTTCTGGCCACTTTTGTTTTCGTTTACTGTTTCCTATTCAAAACATCCTTTTTCTACAAATCTATTCTATATAACCTATTTTATTACTGCTAAATTAGCATCCAAGCATAACAACTAATACGGCATATTACCTAGGTGATAAATCTATTAATAATTATTATCAGCTAAATCAATAACTAAACTCTAGCGATGAAGAATGCAAGTATAATGGAATGTAGGATCTTTATATTCACACGATTTATTTTTATACGTTAGTCCTGTATAGTTAATTAAAACCAGGTGGGTTTTATTTTCATAAATGAGGATATTTACTTAATTAATAACTAAGGCTTTAGGTTTGCCCGGGGCAAGCATAGTTCATATTTGACCAACATGTCTGTTTATTAAATCTTCATATTATTCATAATAGAAAATTATCACTTTTGGTATTAAAACGTTATTGCATCTTTTTTCTGACATAAATCAGACTATCTCTCAGCTTTTACTCAAATATCTTTTTATATATTTAGTTACATATAATAATTTGACTCATTAATACTGTGGAGTGTATACTATTTTTCTACTTTGGAAGGTATTATAGGAATTAACATGAAAAAAAAAATGTAAGGAGGTTTTTATGTCACATTTTTCATAGATTGCCTTGTGGATCCGTTTTGAAGTTTCCTTGTTTTGAATATAGCAACGTATATTTATAAACACTGATTGTACAATATATGTATATGTAATCATGACTAGCAGTGTTAGTAAAACGGTTTTCTTCTGTAGCTAAATACAAGTTATCAAGGAGAGGTAAAAAGTTACAACTCTCTGACGATCAAAGAACTTTAGTTGCTTTGCCGAAAGATGTTCCGGAGCGTACATGGTATATTTATTTATCAAATAGTTTTAAATATACAAGATGTTTTTATTTTCTACATGTACAATAAATTAATATACTTCACAGGGCGGAATTACTTCAAAAAGAAGAGACTGACCTAATGATCTTTGACCTTCGGGAAGAGATAATTGAAGAGGTAATGAATATATGTTACGCGAAGTACATGGAGAAACAAAACGCTGTTTTTTTACAGCTCACTGTGCAGCTGAGGCTTGGTTGAAACTGATAAACTGGTAACTAATATGATGTACTTTAAAATTATAACAGCTTTTGTTGAGTTGCGTTATGACACTCGCAATAAATAAATGAAAATTAACCATGTTATTACCACTAATTACTAATAATGATCTCTTATTAGACCATAAATGCCATGATTTAAATATTGTATCAAGATTTTTACTTCCCTATTACTTAGTGTACAAATATAAAATCGGTATCATTAAATAAAAACCGTTAAGTTTAGTAATCTCTAATCAGTTCATACTAAAAAGTTCTTCTTATTAACGTGTCATCAATATTACTACCAACATATGGCTTGTGTGGTATAAACACTCATCGTTTTTTTTGATTTTTTACTATTAACTGTTTTAATTTTTAAATATCTTTGTTTTGTTTAAAGCTCACGTATACATGTGTACGTCAATACTTATTCCAGAGTTTTGTATCGATAATAATGCACTGTAGATTCAAATATTATATGATGATGTAATATCAGTGTTCTTTTTGATCTTACGATATACAGGGTGACTGGTGAATTACTATCAATATTTAAGGAGCATACTCGGTACATGATTCTCATTCGAATTATGTAAAAAAATAGGTACTTAATTTATGACCAAATTTCCGTATAAATAAATAACGTGTTGACACGTTCCAAGTGTTCCAAGTGTGAAACGCGCGCGGCGGCGTGCTGATACAACACCACGCCGCCGCGCGCGAGTGTGTGTGTGTGTATACCTAATCTGTAGGGTGTTCATACGATGCGTAATTAATTACATAACTTTTGGTTAACTTTACTTAGAAGTTTATTAATATTTATGTTATGTTAATTTTTATTTTGTCATATATGATCGTCAAATATCACGTCCTCAAATATCGATAGTAATTCACCAGTCACCTGTATAAGACAACATTCCTTAAGGTACTTCCTTCGTCACGACCCTGGCGAGGAGCCAAGCGCGTACCCTCCCTGCTACATCCCCAAAAGAGTGGAATCGTGGGTACCGGATGAACTGCCCGACCCTCGCCCAAAGACACATGGTGCAAGCATCAGCTGAACGTACAGGAAGACTTCCAGGAGGAAATAACAAAGAAAACTCCCAGCACTAGCTCTTTGGAGATGCCGGTCATTGAAGACATACCTGAGGAATATTGGTTAGGCTTTTTGACGGAATTTAGACATTCAATTTATTTGAATGAAATGTGGATGAATGAACTCGATGTGAGTGAATTGGTTGAGGTTTAAGGATCAGTCGCTCTTTGTTCAATGAGACTTCCATTAGCTTTTATACTTAAAAGTTAAAATATTTTTTTTTTCTTCAAATATTGATAATATATTTCGCTCTTGGTGTAATGCGACGTGCTGATAGCAAGACATTTGTGTTAACTATTATAGAGTGACCGTACAGTTTATATACTTAATTATATTTTTATTGGATTTTCATATCATAACTTGATTCACCAGGTTCCCTGGTAAAGTGAACCTTCCCGTTGCCACGACGGCTACATCGGAAACCAGCAAAAATCTCCTATGTTAGTTTTTATTTACTCCTCTTAATTAACTTTTTTCAAACAGGTGTAGTAACTAGAGAAAGCTTACTTTTACATTAAATAAGAAATACAGGATAAAATGAGGTCATTACATTTGCTCTGATTTTAAGTGTCAGTAAATTAATTATATATTTTGTTAGTATATCAATACAATGTCTTTTAAAAGATAATGAACTGTAGGTGACCATTTCTTGACTTTTATTTCCTATTTCATATACGTGCCGCTACATCTACTCCGTAGCAAAAATAAAAGAAAAATTAAGATCAAATCACTTTAAATTATATTACATATTTATTTAAGTATCTATACTGCACTTTTTATCTCATATATGTGCTTGAAAGATTGAGAAAAAGGTATGTGGAAAAAGATATAAACGTAATTGATTTTCCTAGGAAACAGATTCATCTCTGTGGTCACGAGAAAGCGAGAGACTTCAGCGCATCACCGACTACAGCGAGCCTCGTCTGGAGACACAGGTACGAAGACAGGGAAATAATATCCACGTTCAGATAAAATACATCATCATCTTCATCATCAGTCTATGAGAGCCCACTGCTGTAAGGCCTCTTCTCACATGGAGAAGGTTTTTGAGAATTAATCACCACACTTGCTCAAAACGAGTTGGTGATTTCAAACTTATAATTTGAAATTATAAGTCCAGGTTTCCTCACGATGTTTTCCTTCATCAATAAATTAAATTATCATTAGCCTATTAGAGTTGATACCTGAGCAAAGGCCTCTTCTTACGTGAAAAAGATTTGAGCATTAATCACGTCTGTTGCTCAAATAAATTACATTATTATAAATTACATCGAAAATGTGTATGAAACATATAGTTGAATCGGTCATTGGTCATCAGGAGTCAGCAGTCAGTGCTAGGATGGTCAATTAGCGTCACGTCAGGGTCACAGCAGGGGGCGGGGGATGGAGGAGACGTGCGGGTTGAAGAGGTACACGAAGGAGAGATGAAGGAAACATCTCGACGATCACACAAACGGACTGAGAAGAGCAAGCTGTTCAGTAAAGCTAGGTGGGTACTAGATAATAGGGACTTAGCACAAGTTTATAGTTGCCTTGAACAACTTTATATATAGATGCTAAAGTTGATAAATGTTTGACAATCCATGGAAATATTAATGTTACATCACTGAGTAATATAAGGGATGATGATTCAGTAATTTTTTCAACATGTTTTTAAGAGTGTTGGTATATGATTCTATTAGGTTATGATACTGATGAACTGAAATGTAAAGTGTTAAATCTAATATAATCTAATCTTTTAGGAGACTATAATTAATATATAATGAGATCTCAGAATTCAAAAAGTATTCATTTAAATGAAACTAATATTTTAGGATTACTACGCGTATTTATCATTTTAAAAAACTGTATGTCGGTCGAATATTGTGTGTAAGAATAATAACCTTGTTCTGAAGCCTGACTTTCCTCTCTTCTGTTTAGTATGCTGGGCAGATCCAGAGGTTCCCTCCCCACCTCTCGAAGGTGACTCCAGGTCCCGCGTCAGCATCATATCTGACTGCCGCTTGAGGAATTTAAGGTTACATATGATTATTATAATATAATTGCCATAGTTAAATATATTTATATTAGATACTTTTAAACCTTTATATTTAAAAATTGCCGACTGGTTAGGCACTAGGGTTTTATTACGTATAAAACCAACAAGAATTAAAAGGGCAATTTATTTTTGATTTATTAAGGTATAATCGTTATTTTTTATATATTATTATATTTATGTCTAAGGTCTTTCGTAATAACAAAAGAATTTTTCATAAGTTGTAAAGTTTATGATTGCAGTCGCCATTATATTTGGCTGTATAAAAGGTATACAGTGACAATTTGTTAAAAAAAATACACTTACAATTTTTTTATAGTAGTAATTTTTTGATTGTATTTCCGTCAATAAAACTTTACATTGTGAGATCGTTTGTGACCCTTGCACCATATTATACATTATAATAAAGGTACATTAACAATTTCGACTCATAATTCCCACAATCCTTTGTCAAGACACTCCACCCTTAGATTTTTCAACCATTGTACGGTCAATTTGAACAGTAGTATGTAAAAACACGTGTAAATTAACAAAAGGAAATTGTCTCTAAATAGTTGTGTGAGTGCAACGACCTCGTATTTAGATTGTATGAAAGCTGAATAAATCGGGGGAAGTTAAAAGACTTGTGTTTCATCAATACGTTGTATTATGCTTTATGCATTTAACATGGACACTTGTGTGATTGTGTCAGGGCTGGCGATGGATCAAAACTACTCGAAATATTGATGCATTTAATATTAATATCTATGAGTTTCTGGCTTTATTATATTTCTAATAATAATTGTAGTATATCAATGGGTACTTAAAACTAGATCATTATTAATTTTCATTTCAATATTTTGTTTTTTTATAAGTGTAATGACAAGAATTTTGTTTAACATAATGGTGTTAGTAAGATGAAATAAGTAGCTCTGTAAATTTTGGTCGCTATCAAAATTCGAATAGATTCACTTTTATTTTATTTATAACCCTTACTAAGTTGCTATAATTAGGTATTTGATTTTAATATTTTTCTCACATGATACGTTTGACATCACTAAAAACTTTAATGTACTAAGTTTGTATTAGCAAAAAGGTGGATTATTTCATCGAAATTAATGAGAGGGATTTTTTTTTTCAATTGAAAATTTGTATTTCTTACGCCAAAAGAACCTTCAAAAATAAGTCTTTTCTACTTTTGCCTCGTCTTAATCGTAACAAGTTCCATCATTCTAGTACAAAATGATGTTCCTTCTGTTCCTATAACTTGTATTTATTTCATCATGAGACATCTTACAAGGATCTCTTTGTTTACTTCACAAATCAAATAGTATATTACCTGGAATAGAAGATTTATACATAGATAACTATGTCAATCGCTTAGGGCCTAAAAGGTACTTCTTTTCTCATATATCCAAAAAGCTAGATAATATTTCTGACTATTGTGTTTTTATCTTTTTTGTCTTATGTCAAACTTTTCTCTTCTTCCTTTTTCTCGCACGAACAAGTTCTGAGACATAGCCTGAACATAATTGAAATTCTCCCAATTTATTTTCATGAAATATTAAAATGACAATGTCTATAGACCCCGCTATTTATATATTATGTACCTACCTGCGTAGTCTTATATAAATTGTGTTAATTTATGTAACAAATGTACATATAGTGTTTGTATCTACTTATAGAAATATCTATATCATAAAAATCGCATATAAACCAATAAAATATATATTATAATAAGTAGTAAGTGTCATCCTTGGTCACGTTAAATACCCTCTCGTCTCCCAGGTGTATGGAGGTCGTTGACCTGCCACTTCATATGCAATAGGAATCAAATGTTCTATTAATTCATACATACTTCTATTCATCTTACTTCACGGGAACACATGCGGCATGCGGGCATGCGATCTGTAGCTTAGGAAATGTTATTAAACAAAAACAATTAATAATTGTTTCTATGAAAACATTATATTGAAAATAAATCTTAAAATAATGAAAAAGATTTTAAGAAATGATCAGATTCTTATAATACTTCTGATAGGATATATGCATATAATGACACTTAAATTGAAAAAGATTTGCACTAAATATGTCTGTAAGTAGGTTTTGCCCACGACTTACTTAGTCCGCGTTAGTTTTCATAATTAGTAATGTATAGCTGACTAGGAGGCGAACTGTTTCCAATTTAGGTGGCAGCAAATAAACAGATTTTGGATTTTATAACACAATTTTTTTTTGGTAAACGAATTGAAAAGTAGCCTATATCCTTTCCCTTTTTTTAAGCTATCTCTCCACAAATTTCCAGGAAAACCCGTCCAGTCGTTCTTAAGGTTTAAATAGTGTAACTAACACACGAATTTTTCTTTTATATATAAAATTTATTATCTCGTTCGATGTTGTTATCTGATATTATTTATCTTTGAGAGATACCTTATTAGTTCTCGATTATTAGGAAAAGATGCTCTAAACTTTATCTTTTATGATACCAATCAGTCGTCACTGATATTTTTTATAAAAAAAAGTTTTAAATACTATTAATTCCTTTTTAATATATGTTTGTATATGTCGTATTCTATGTAACAGTTCATTCTCCCCGTCCGCTGACCGGTTACATCTGTTTCAATCGATAACAGAACCGTATAGTGTCCTGCGTTTGACAAGGGATGGAGTGGCTCATCACGAATAATGTATATACTATTATAACATATACAAATAGAAATTGTAGGCTCTCTGTTGATATAAAACACAAGATAGATAAACAAAGACTCAAGCTAAATCTGTAAGGGTTTAACAAAGTAGAAGTATCTATAGTTTTTGTGAAGAAAAAATAGTATTAGCATGTTTAAATATAATGTTTATGGAGTAATTTAAACACGAACCAAAACAAAGTCCCATAAACGTACAAATTAAATTAAACAATAGTCCTACATTTACCGAAACTTGTGATATCATATTAAATTATGTCAGTTAACAAAGTTTCATAATTTCCGTATAAATGAATTATATTGGGGATACGGACACGTTAACTTTTGTTTAGTTCAACGTTAAATGGGGTTTTGGAGCGCGGTGTGAGGCTCGGGGCCTGGAATACTCAATGACGCTTCATTAAAATTATGATTTATATGTAATGGATTTAGATTAGGGAAACGTGAGCTGTACTTAAAACACATATTAGAGGTTACACATCACTGTAACCTCGACGATAAACTAGCTGTATATCGCGATTTTATTTGGGATTTAATATAACTATAGTGAGGGGCTGATCATGAGTTAGATTAGGATTTAAATTATATATACTCGTATACTACACTGGTGAGGTTGGGATGAGAAAAGTATGCAACATTACATGAAGTAACTGATAATTATTTTATTAGCGAATTCAAGGTTACTTGAGAAACCGATTTCTGCTTGGTAGAAGAAGGATTGACAGGTATACCAGTCAAATCTCTCTACAACTACCCATCAGTTCATTATTGGAAGGTACTTCGAAAGCAGCCCTGGTAGGTTCGATTCAAATTTGGTTAGATAGAGAGGAGCTTGGACAGTGAAGGTGAGCATTTAACGCGTGTTAGATAGTGTCCCTTAGGCCTCAGGCCTCGAATCTCGCGGGTAGCGGGGCGGCAGCGGCGGCGGCACGAAAACGCATACATTTTTCTCCGTGCCCCCTCCCCTCTAGTTTGGAGAATAGTATGCGTTTCCGTGCCGCCGCCCGCTGCCGCCCCGCTACCCGCGAGATTCGAGGCCGAGGCCTTAAACCTACACCTGGGTCACAAGTCCCAGTCACTGTTGAAGCTCCTCTCACTACAACTTTGGACCCGACGCCCGCACGGAGAATACATTGAATATTGAGAAGTTTCTTCTCATTTATGGAATAATTTTAAATGACAAATCCAGCATAGCAACAGCATGTTTGCTGAGTGTATTCCAGTGAAGTCGATGTCAACGCCACAGGTGACCGGCGGGTCTGGGTTCGAGGTCCGCTCCGACCTGTATAATAGTGTATAATGTTCACTAAATTATGTGGGTATGAACAAAAAGATTGAATATCGTTAGTACGACACTGATTCACGGCTCCTTGACTACATGAATCACAATGGATTGAGGGGATTGGTGATCCTGTAAAATTCCTATATATGATGTAATTATAGATATATTGAAGAAATCAAAGAATAGACAACCCACTTCTTAATCGTAAATTTAATATTGAAATAATTGATTCTTAGTACCTTTGAACGTTCAAAATAAGCAAATCCTGGTGCTGTTACTATGTATTATAATAGTTTAGTTAATATATCTGGGGAGTTTGGTTTGAGTTAGTAAATATTCCAAGGTTCCCGAGTTGAGTGACCACAGTCGCTCATCCCTATTTATTTTCCCACACATTTATATTTATAAGTATTGATAGCTGTTTACATTATCATAAAAATATATTATAATTCTTCAGAATTTCAAATCGACTATTTTTTTTTTTAGGTTTCAGAGTTTTTTTCTCAACATTGTTTTATCCTCTTGTTGCCACATATATGTGTTATAAATAACTTGCAGTAGCTATGGGGCAGATGTTTGTTCGTATATTCAGTAATCAGTAGTTTTTTCTTGATTTTTCTTCCAGTATTTTAGAAATCGAGAAAAATTCGAGGATTTTCCTTGAAGTTAATGTCAAAGAAATGTAAAACATATTAATACAGTAATAGTATTTTTTTAATTTTTATTCATGAGCCTATCAGAGCTCACTGAGCAAAGGCCTTTTCACATGGATAAGGTTAATAGTATAATCATAAAAAATGTCTCAGTTTTAGTTTTGATAGAAAAGTACAAATAAATTTACAGTTATTATAGTATTAAAATCTCATATATATGTTTAAATCACATTAAATTAATAATTGTTTTCAGGTTGGACACTCAATACGACATAACATCGGAGAAGATAGACACTCCTCCCGGAGAGGTGGTTAAAAGAAAATAACATTATACAAAGAATTATACAAAAATAATAACAATCATAATCATTTTTTTTTTCCTATTTTCATGTTGTTATTTTATTTTTGTTTAAATTTGTATGTTAAATTGTTATTATCAATCATGTTATTCGGATTATACATTAATGATTTTGTCATTTAATATTAGTTTGTTTTTTAATCATGAACATTAAGTACGGAATATAAATATTTATACAATAAATCTATTTTATTTATCACCAAATACTATATGTGTGTTTAATAATAATCATTTTTGGTTGAAGGTAAAGTAAATTACTAAATCGATTGAAAATTAAAATTTATTTATAATAATCTATCAACAATTTCAAATTATAGGTTAGTACTTTAGTAGTTTACATACATACATACATTAATCATCGAAAATTGAGAGGCATTTCTCACACAAATATAAAAACATGAGAAGGGTAAAAAATGTATGAGAAGTTAACAAAACTATAAATAATCAAGATATAAGTGGTTTAACCTACGTCCATATTAAAGTTTGAGTTTTCCTAAATGGTTCGTAACCTTATTTTTAACAATTATAACTTAATTAACATTGTTCAAAACTGTGACAAAACTTTAAAATTGTATTTTAGTATAACTCAATATTAAAAGTAATGAACGAGTTTTAGTAAGATATATATTCTAAATATTTTGTACATCTCTATAAATAAACCTAAATTTTATTTTAAAGCTAATCTTTAATATGTTTAGTCATTAAGAAAGTCATTGAAAATGTAACATAAATGATAAAACTATTGAAAAATGGGGCTATATCAATACTTTTGAGGAATTACAAGCAATAATTTTAGTTTGACATATTCACAGATTGAAAGCGGGCAGGAGTCTTGTAATATAATAAATAAAAGCCAGAATTGAGGATAATATTGAAAATATAAATACTGGTGATGTACGGACAGATAAACTGTTGTGTTTTCAGAGTTCGGTAACAAGATAAGCTCGGCATGAACGAGACGTGTTCAAATACATGTACTGTGTGTGATCGGTACGATGAGGGAAGGTGGGTCTGGTTGGTTTTTTTTTAGGGGGATGAAATATTTGTAGGGTCAGGATCAGATCGGAAAATATTTTTAATAGAACTTGCTACATAAATAATGTTAAAGTAATATGCGACATATATGATATAGCATTCATTGTGAAGAGATTGTTTTTTTTCGTAAATACATTAGATTTAAATCTGAAAAATATTACTACCGTTTCTATTCTATGAAATATGGATGAAAATTATTATTTGTTATTTTATTAAAGAAAGAAAGAATAAAGAATTACTATTAAAGATGAAAGGACTTTACAATTTGGATAAAGGAATAAAAGCAAATAGTATATATTCTCATATTCCTGTTGCGCATCATGAACTAGGGACAATGTTTGAAGTGAGGCTGTCATCACGACAATGGACCATCAAATGAGCACGTGCTCCTACCTCCCCGGACCACTCACTCAATATAAATATTGACTCCATACTGGAAACTATAACTAAATATTTAGAACAATTGCAGTTTTCGGATGAGTTGTATTGTCCTGAATCGTTGGATATATAGAATATCGAAGATAAAAAATACTTTTAGATGAATAAAAATATAATGGAAAGCACTAGTAACTAGTAAGTACTAATAGATAATCGCCGGCGCATATACTACCTACAATTGTTTTTGAGAATAAAATTTATCTTTCTGTCAAAACGATCCAGTTTTTTTAAGCACACCTGAGGAAAATTTTAAAATAAAATATATCCTTGAATCTATGAGCTGGAGCAAGCTTACTTTTCTTTTATAACTCTTTTCCAAGTAGAATGATTACATTTTTCACCCTCCTCATTTCCGTGCTGCTAAAAATTCGTTTGATTAAATCTGCATTTTTGGATAAAATATTGATTGGTTATTTATTCCATATTGAGATCACTCGTTTGAGATCGTTAAAGACAGATAATACTTTAAAAAAATAAACGAAACATCATATTATTATTTAACAACACATCGACATACAAGTACACTATATGTTTTCACATTGAAAGGATTCGTGATCTGTTTTTTATTATCAAAAATCTCTACAAAAACACCAAATTCTTTTCCACGAAGTATAGCTTTTGTGATGAAAAATCCGTACAATAATGTTTATACCGATACACAAAATACCTTTCAGTGGGATTGAAGGAACAATCCGAAGACCTCTCCCCATCTTACTACAGCTTTGTTCACTTTGTAACGACGCCTTTGAAGCCTTTTAAGTTCAATCATTTAGGTCAGCCGTCCTCCGGGCGGCCGCTGTACTCGAATATTGTTTTTAACCTGAGAAAATCATTTTGGACCCCTTTCATTTCTGATCATTGTGAGCGGATATGAAATTATGGTTTTATCTTTGTAAATACAATATGAAGTGCGTGTTCCGATGTTTTTATTTATTCAATACGAAATAAAAAATATTAAGCTTTTTATCCATGATTCATGAGTATGTTATAAAAGGTGTGTTGTTATGTTCATATTTCGGGCTCTTTGTTTGTTTTATTTTTATTTCACTGGTATTAAGTTTTGGTTAATAAATAAAGTTTTCTACAAACCATACATATAAGAGAGCCAAAACACACCGCAATGGTATCATTCACGGACCTTCATCCCAAGTCCCGACCGACCATCCAACCCGGCGAGGATGACGCAATTTATAAAAATAAAAAGACCAAATTACTCTCATTTGAAAAATGCGTTAATTTAAGCAAAGGGACTGGATCGCGGGAAATCAAGAAGTTTTTTTTTTTTCCGTAAAAAGGTTCCAGAGATTGATAAAGGCTCTCCGAAAAGGTTGGGTCAGGAATGACCTCAGGCGCCTTCGAGATGAAATGTATTTTATAAGACACCCTAACACTGGCGCGTGCTCTCCATTTATATTAATTGAAAACTCAAGGAAACTCTATATAAATAATATACATACAACATATAGTTCAATAAGTATATTTCTTAGTGTTCATATATTAATAAGAAAAACAGTAATACCCTGTATTATAAAGTAAAATTACAATTAAAAACAACTTTTAGACGAACAAAACTCTTTTGGTCAGTTTGTTTGCGTTAATTTCCGACTGATTTTCATAAATGCACGTCAACTTTTAATATTAATCGTATAATAAAGGCGAGTTAGCATTCGTAAAGGTCATTATAAAGGGAGCAGCCCGCCGGAGGTCTCTGGGGCGGCATTTTATTACAAATATAATTGCCCTTTGACCCCCTAAATAAATTGGGCATGCCCGTAATTATGATCCCGAAACACCATTGTTGTTTGCTTTAATTGTTGCAAATTGAGGAATATGATATGGGGTTTCGCATGTTTTTTAAGCTGTTGCATAGAATTTATCGTTGGCTTTGAGAGTGGAGCACCAAATTAAGGAATTTCGTACGAAAACATCATAACACCCTCCTGACATCGTTACGGAGTTCAAAGCCATCGTCTAACGTAAGTATTAGTTCGCCAGAATTTCGGCACAGTATTTGCGTGACACCTAGACGTATAGACTAGCTACTACATAACTGCTTATAATTGAGTTCATCTCTTTTAGACACAAAGCTATCTAAGACAGCCTGCTTTAAAAGGCCTCTTTCCACTATATTTATGTTAGGCGCTCATTTGTTGGAGATATTTTTGAGTGTTTATGTAAACGTAGAAATGATCTACACATAGTCATGGTAGTAATTTACATATCCATATCCAAAATTGGACAAAGTAGAGGATTTTATTAATCGTACAATTTTTCTGGAGCACCCTGATGAAGGTTTGAAAATATGGTACTTGGTATATATGGTAGTAAATTTTCTCCTATGTTATATGACCATTTCAACATTAACGTCTCTGATAAAAAATGTATGCGGTTGACAAGTTTTTTTATTTAAGTTACCATAAACCTACCGTTCCAATGATAAAAATGCCTGAATAACCAATATATATTGTAAGATAATAAAAAACGTTTTTAAAACAATATTATTTTCTCATTAATTCAATAAACGAAAAACAATTGTTTTCTTATCTCTCACCTACCTTGAATCATATCAAAGAAGAAAATAATACTGTATAATAAAAATAAATAAGTAATTATAATTGCATAAAATGTAACACGTCAATCCCGGGAATGCCACACGTATTTCTTTTTTAATAAGGATACTTATAAAATGTGTATACAGGACTCATATAATACAATGTATGTGTATTAAATTATTAAATTATCATAATAAATATGTAATGTATAACAGTGATAGTATTTAAAATAAATAAAAAACAATTCCCTAATAAGATTGGACAGTGACGGACGAGCTCAGCGGGGTCCCAACAATTAATGTAATCACCCTTCCATTTAAGATATTCCGCGGTATAATGAAATAATAAATATTATTTTACAAACAGACATCCTGATACACGGGTGACAGTGTTGTCGTTATGTTTGAGTGTGGCCAGGCTTGAAAATATATTAATTAAATGGAATAAATTATTCTGCTTCCTGAAATACGACGACATAAAATATTATACGAAAAATTAAATGACCACGTTTCATTTATGTATATGTTTAAATCTTTAATATAATTTGGTATTTATATATGGGACGACAAATATTGGTTATTCCAAATAAGTTTTAATAAGTGTGAGTTTTGTTTTTCTTTTATTATTACAACTCGTTTTAGGTGTTTGTTATTTAAAATCTTTTAAAAACAATATCATCTAGAACTGTCGTGGGTGACGTCACCTTATTTGTTTTTTGTCCTTGACTCGCCGACTGTGACATTACACATTATAATATCGCTGTTATTTTCATTACAAATATTTTCTAACATTGAAACTACACAAGGCTTGTTTAGAACCAATATTTAATTAATACAACACTGTAGATAGTTATCTATATTTATGTGTACATACATATATATAACTTATCACAATATCTGTAAATTTTTTCTAATATATTTTTACGGGCGTGTTCCGGACACAA